GCCTAAGGGTGTTTCGAGAAAACTAAAGTCTAAACAACAATAATAATCACCATTGAAATCACTTCTATATGGAAGGGAATTAAAATTGAAGTACAAATTGAGATACAAAAATGATACGTTGTGGGGGGGGATAATTGATATACAGTTGAAAAATTAAAAAGGAACCTACAAAAACTAGTTACAGTGAAAGCACAAAAAAAACAATCCAAAAATTCTGTTCTCATAGTAACTAGTTGAAAGAGTAAGTGGAAATGAAAAAAAATCTGTGAAGAATTTGTTGTGATCAACTGTCCATTGATGTGTTAAGATTACGATGGATCAGTCTCTTTTAGTGTAAGTACAACCTGTGCAGATTGTTTTGATATTACCATTAGATAATAAGCATTTTTTTTAAAAATAGTAGAGTTAGACGATGACTAATGATAAATTCTAGAACACATGTTTCACCCTATTTAGAATGTATTCACAATCCAGTGTTGATGTTCACGCTGGATACAGGTGCATATGGTGAAGAGATCCAAGTAGTAAGAAAATCACGTTCGAGTTTCACTACCAGCTGCTATCCAGCTTTATTTTGAGAAATTTACCAATTTGGTTGATTCGCGTATAGATTCAAAAGAATGAAACCATTCTAGCGAATAAAGACGACAAACACATACACATAGGGAAGTTTTATTTCCTGTGAAACCGTGCTTTTTTCAAAGTAATGTCGAGTTTTTAATGTAATAATCATGCATATATAAATAAGCCTATGACACTTAATGACATGTGTCCGGATATATTGGGGGATATGTACTCCTTAAAAACTGTCCACCAACACCAATGTCACAATTTTCAATAGAAATGTCAAAACAGTTCTACTGTATTGTGCGTAAACCTGGAGAACTACTCAAGTAATCATCCAGAAGATACAAGTGTTTATTAACAGTTGTCTATGCAAAATACTTAGGATCTGTTCGCCAGACACTAACAGCGACAACCTACTGTGGGAGAGAACAAACCAGATCCCAGCGGAGGAAGAAATCAGGAAGAAGTGCTGGAAGTGGATAGGACACACATTGAGGAAAGCACCCAACTGAGTCACAAGACAAGCCCTCACATGGAATCCTCAAGGCTAAACAAAGGAGGAGAGGAAGACCAAACAACACATTACTCCGGCAAATGGAGACAAACATGAGAAGAATGAACGACAATTGAATAGAACTAAAAAGGATGGCCCAGAACAGAGTGGGTTGGAGAATGCTGGTTGGTGGCCTATGCTCCACTGAGAGTAACAGGCGTAAATAAGTAAGTAAGTATACTCTTTAAACATCATTGACAAGTGCTAGCTTCCATAAAACCTGAATCCATTAGGACGTTTTATTAATCATCATTATCTCCTTAAAAAGTCGTAGTTATTAGTGGGACAAAATATTGAATCAATGTAAACAGATAAATTACTTTTATATACCATCCAATCAAAGTGCAACAAATGAATTGAATAAAAGTGATGTTAATTTATTCTATTCCTAAGATTATTATCACCTATTCATAATAATATAGAAATATGAAATGGCAATTTACTTAGTTATTTGTTTATATCATCAAAATATATTTATGTTGTTTATTACGCTCCAGTTATTAATTGTAATTTACTCTATTAGAATATTTATGCAAAACAGATTTATTCAATAGCCAGCACATCTCACATTTGTTTTCATAATCATAGAAATCACCAATTCCTAATCATTAGTTCCTCTTATTATTTAAATCGTTAAAAATGTTAGGATATATATATATACACCTGTTACTCCTCGTGGAGGAGCATAGACGACTCATCAGCACTCTCCATCCAACCTTATCCTAAGCAGTCCTTTTCCAGCTGTTTCCAGTTGTTATTTATCCCTTTCATATCTGCTTCTATTTCCCGACGTAATATGTTTTTTGACCTTCTCTTTTTCCACTTCCCTTCAGGATTCCAAGTTAGGGCTTGCCTCTTCTGGAGATACTGCCGGTCTCAAGCCCGGATATAGTAGGAGGGTTGGACATGGGGTCTCCAAACCTAACCCGTAGAAAAAAATCTTGTTAGAAAGACGCCAACGAGATTATATATTGATTGTAAGCATTGGTTGGTATCCGTTAACAATTACTGTCTAAATAGTTTTATAATTATGTTTCCAACTATAATACTGAATGACAGAAGTTCAAGTTTCATAGAAAGTATTATTTCTGTTAAAAATTAAGATAAATCTTATTGAAGACCATAAACTAGCATGAAAAGAATATTCACAGATTGTTACAGCTTGTGATTATCCGTTTAACGTTTAATTACTATGTGTAAAAGTTTAGTTTTCTCTATAACAAATAGACGGTTATATTCTTGTTTACATATCTATTACCTATTCCATACGCTAAGCAACCGTCTTCATCCACGCATAATAATCAGTGTTGCTCTGGAAGAAAGTTGGAAGCTGTGTAACTAAAACTTGATATTAGTTTATGAAGTAACTGATGGCTGGACTAAACTTTGTTTGTAGGTGCGGACTATTTGATTGTGATCAGCACGATTGTCATAACCATCAGTTGTACATATTTTGTGGTATAATTAAGAATCGGTTACAGCAGTCTACATGAATTCACCATTAATTTTTTTTCAAGTACTTATTTTATAATTTTTAATCCTTTTTTTCTTCTTAAATTGCATTCTGTGTATCTCATCATTGCCACAATCTCTGACACTTACTAGTTCATTTCATCGTTCTGGAATGTTTATTTGAACCATTGCATATATGTGATAGATTTCATGTCACTTATGATTGACTGACTGTCCAATATCTAGCACTTCACCTCTTTCATACTGACATACAATTTATTGGAATATTTTCCTGATGAACATCTTAATCTGTATCGTCATTTCTTAAAATTACGTCTAATAGAATATAAAGACAAAATAAATTGGCAAATCATATTATCTTTAATGAAATAGAACTTTTCCCCTCTTTCTATTCCAAAAAGGAGAAGAAAAAAAGAACATTCCCTACAAATTTCTGAACTACAAAAATTACAGAATGTAATTTTTTTGTATTTTCTCTAGTCAATTTATCAGTTCATTATTGAATGGTCTTCTTATATTATGTACATTCTCTCTCTCTCTCTCTCTAAGGGAAACTATCACATTAGTGGATAGTTTGAAGTGAAATCACTTTTGTATTTGTTTGTTTGTTTTTTTAAGGGGGGATTAATATGAATCTATAGAGGATTTAATCAAAATACAAACAAACAAAGATTCTTCTTAATTTATCTAAAATAATTCAATCTAATAATCGTTTATTGTTCTTAAATCAATTGCCATGTCAACTATAATCTTATATTATATAGTTGCTAACTAAATATGTTCACTTTAGTTTATTTAAAAGCATATGACTTGTTAAGCACAAATATATTCGCTTCAATATATTTTAAACACAATGTAGACAATTAAATAGTCTAATGTAGATCTATCATCACAATTGTTTTTATCAGTATAGGGTTGTGAAGATTATTACGTTTTTGATTGAGATTATGCTCACTAGCCTTGTGAAGGGATTCTCCGAATTCTAGTGAGAAGCCGTGACCAGTGGAGCTATTACGTATCGGGTAGAGACAGGTGTCTACCTCAATATAATGGAAGAAGGTCGCGCAATTCGCGGATTGGTTGAGGTTAGACATTAACACCATTGGATGCCGGCTCAGTGGTCCAGTAGGGTAAGCGTTTGCTCTCGAGACTGAAGGCCGTGAGTTCGAATCCCGCGAGAAGGATCATGGATGTGCAGTGCCACAGAGGAGTTCCGCAGTAGGACGAAATGGCCGTCCAGTGCATCCAGATTTTCCATGGTGGTCTAACATCAATCGGTTCATGATCTCAATCAAGAAATTATTTTCATTCAGAAGTATTATAACAGTTTATTCATCAGATGCGTTTTATAATAATAAGTACATATGAAATGACTACTTGTAGGATCATTTACAGTAGATGGATAACCGTAGCATAGTATGAAGCAGTAAATGATTATCTCGATGAAGCATAAATTTATTAATCCATTCTAGACTATAAATCATGTTGTTCTTACATGATTCAAAATGATAGTTTCTTTAAGATGTGTCTAAACAAAAGACTGATATTAAACTACAGTTATGTAAACATATTCGTACAGTTTACCTGAATAAGGTTTTCTTTAAACATATCAGTTAATCAATCGCATCTACTTAAAAGTCGGTCGACTCTGTATCGACAGTTTCCTAATTATGATTTGCTTGTACTCCTGATGGAACGTTTCTAAATGTCAAGAACAAGTTTAAAGATTTCAGAAACTTGTTTATTTTAGAGAAAAAATAATTAAAAAATAAGGTCATGACTAAACTAATATGGTATTATCCAATCTCAGTATGTTTTACGACTCTGGAAAACAGCTAACGGTATCCTAAATAGTCAGATGTCAATGAATTTAATGTAGATATTATAAGATAATATATTCAGCAGCTCGTTTACTTACTTATTTATGACTGTTACTCCTCGTGGAGGAGCATAAATGACTCATCAGCACTCTCCATCCAACCCTGTCCTGGCCAATCCTTTCCAGCTCTTTACAGTTTTTATTCATCCTTTTCATATCTGCTTCTAGTTCCTGACATAATGAAGCTCATTTAATAGTTAGAAATGATTCTTATATGAAATAAACTATGGAAGATTTGAATATAACATCGAAATTATGGTGACCATACTTTTCTTTAATAGAAGTACTTATTTATTTGATATGTACACGATTGTTAATACAATGATAGAATTGTTTTTGATTATAGTTGTCACTATTCGAATTGATCACTCATAAAAGAAGACTTCCATCAAGAGATTGATCTTTTTCAACATCAGTTGTCAAGATGTTTCATTCATTACAATGACATTATAAATGATAATATCAGTATTATGTAAACTACTTATATATTGATTTCAGTAACTTTTATTATTGTTTATATTCTTTTAGAAATAAATTTTCAATGGCTTATTTTCACTTAAAACAACAGTTTCAATCAACCGAAGGAATTTGTCTGAATCTCTTACAGCTGTTTATTTATTTAAACTTATTTTGTTTATGTCAAACAATCTATCCAGTTCATTCATTAAATACAAATACATTAAGAAGTAGTTATCCAACTGTAGATGATGTTACTAATACCGATGATATGTGGTTATTAAATGATCAAAATAAAAAGAAAACTATGGATCGACTTCGTGAATTTAATCGATACTTGAATAGTATTTTTCTACGTCAACAGGTAAGTTTCTGATGAAGTCTTTTATAGCGTTAATAGATTTTAGTTACGTTGATCAACTATTCATACCTTTAACTCGACCTAATGTAACGAATAACAGATCTACAATAATAGTAATAATAATTACTTTACTTGTTGCTATAACAACAGTTGTGCAGTCGTGCAAAATAATTTCTCTTCACATTAATTCAAATTGCAATAACTTAAAGCTGTGTGGATAACGCGATAGCGTTTGAAGCGAATGGTACTGGGTTCGAGTTCCAGAGTGAACATCAACTCTAAAATGACGGTACATCCAGCTGACAAGTCCCAAATAGGATGAAACGCGAGTCAGGCTGGACTCCACTTCTAGCCACTATCCATCATTGCTTACAAAAAGCATACGCACAGTATGCACATATGCCAATAACAGACTGATCAATTGCAGTCTTGAACCTCAATGGGAAGATCCAAGCCAAACAATACCAAGTGAATTAAAGATGATGTGTTATAAATGTTTTTCTCAATACTCAGTATCCGCTAGTCATTTTCAGTAGAGAAACCTTGTTATCAATTCTTTTTAGTAGTACAACTATTCTTCCCTCTGATCAGCTATTAAATGCATGAATTCTAATATATTCCTCTCATGTATATTCGAATGATAGATAAGAAGGAAACTACGCTAGTAAGTGCAGTGTTCAAGTTTAAGATTTTAGTATTACAAATCTTGACGAGTTATTATAATGCTTTGTGTCTAACTTAAAGATACTTTGAGCAATCCGATGGACGTGCAGAATATCGTGTATAAGAAAACATTTCACAATAAAGCATCCAATGACAACAAGCAATAACACTGTCATGAAATTAAGACAATTCGATTATCACAACTAGAAGTGTGAACGTGATATTTTGAATTAGTTACAATTTTAAACTATTCCCAAAACTGTCTGAGTACATAATGATACAATTCAAAGTTATTCAATTCAATCATGTACAAAACAGGGAGATTTATTGCAATATTTGCCCAGCTGTGTATGAGTAAGACGAATGCGGTGAAGTTGCCTTCGAAATAACTAACAAGAACACGAGTGGGAAAGCAAAATTACAGAGCATCTCAATAAAATCTGAGAACCATATATTAAATTGTTAATTTGCAAAATCTCCACTACTTGTCTCAAAATGCCTCAGACGTCATTATTCTTGCATTTTCATAAAAATTGTATTCTATTCCCGCTCTTGCTTTCTTGATCTTCCCCCATCTTCTGTTGCCAGACATTACATTCCTGACTCGTATAATGTACTACTTACATCAATATAAGTAGCGCGCATCACATCACTAATTAAAAGAACTAAAATAGTAAGTTCTGGATACGCTCATGAATTATAAAACTTGTGTAAAATAAACCGGCCTAATAATGTTGAATTATTCTTAGCAGTAAACTACAAGAAATATCTCCGTAAATTTTTGACGTTGGTCACAATGTTTTCACAATCAAGAGGGGATTTTTTCCCAAGTTTTCTTTGTTATTTCTTTTAAGTGTAAATAATAACGCATTGAGGATGGAAAAAAGTAACCGTTGAAAATCAGTTGACTGATAACTTTGAAATAACATTAGTTCATAACGAGAAGTATATTACGTTCATAAAGAAGATCAAAGTGGCAGTTGACATTATCTTTAAAATACTGTGTGGTTAATCATTAACCTTAATTTTTCTTTCAATCATTGATTTTTGATTCATTACCTAGTCACTATGACAGAGAAATATTTTTCTTCTCTAAGATTCACTCATTTGGCTTGTGTATTGTTTAGCTCAACTATTGATTCTGTATGATTTGTGGAAAGTTTGAATCAATTTAGTGATCGCCTCCAAATATCATGGTACGGCCAAGAGTGAGAAGAGTCCGTTCTCAATCTCTAAATGCTCTAAAATGGCCACGCGTATATAGCCTCTGCCAGGGAAGTCCTACTCACTGGCATCTCGCACCACGAGTGTTGTTTACAAAATTGAGAGGACGAAAAGCGAATGTCCGGCGCTTTAACTGGGTTGGTGGACATGGACAGTCCACAAATGGCGTAGGAACCAATCGTTGGTCACCGGCTTTACTTGTGGATCAGACCATTAGTTCGAAGGCCCCGGGTGTAGTCCTCTAAGAAAACCACCTGCTTCGGTCTGGGCACCCGGGCAGTATCACATCCCTCACACATATCAAATGAGATTTGTGTGGCGCATATCTATTTGGTGCTCCCTTGTACCAATATCTATGTGTTAAAATAAATAAAAAAAACAAAAAAGGGGGGCCTAATGTTTTTACATATAAAGTCTGAGACATTTTCTTTGAAAATTGAAACTGCATTCTTTACTTAAACAATGGCGATCATTTAACCATACACCAACAGCAAATTTTACCCTGGTACTTTCATATTTTATGGAAATCACATCGGATAAGAATATACTACAAAACAATAAAGTACAATTCTGGTAAACTGAAGTGATTACAGCTTAAAATTATTGGTAAACTCTCTTAAGCGCATTTCAATGATCCAGACACTTTCAAATATGCTTAAAACAATGGAGTATTTTAGTTGAAATGATCATAATCAGATTCACCGAAAATCAACTAGATTGTTTATGTAAAAAGATAAAATCTAGTTAGTATATATACTTTCCAGTGTGATAAAAAACATTCAGCCTAATACAGTTAGAATCATTAATTGTTATCCGAGGGTAAATCCAAATTTTATTCCACTCCTCTTATCCTTCACTTACATGAGATAGTTTTATATCTATCTATGTTAAATATAATCATTTAATTCTTATTACTATATATATATATCAATGACGGCCTACTTGAACATCTGAGCTCCTTGTTCCTGCCATCTCGATGTTTCAAAAAGCCATCTATTGTTTGTTTTAATACATCATTATTTTGATGGAGTTTTGTTCTCTGAGCTGGATGGTTTGGTCGTGGAGCTTTCGTCGTTCTTCTGAACGACATGGTCAGCACAAACTTGAGATAGAAGTCTATCTGAAGTTTGTGCTCCATCAAAATCATCCACCTGAGCTACAAATCGTCCCCACCATCTCAAAATACATCATCATGCTTGTTAATCGCATAACGTATTCAAGTGAGTTTCTGAAAAGTGTACAACCTTTCGTTGTACAAGTTACAAAAGGCCCAATCAAAGACATTGTGGTGGCTGGCAATATCCAGCGAAAAGAATGAATATTATTCGGATGTTGATTGACTAGACTGCTAACATTTAACTGGTGATCATTCAATATATTATCGTTAGCGTAGATGAAGAAATAGGAAAAGGAAAATTGTTAAAATACTTTGTGCTGAGAATTCTCTATTGTACCAAAGACATAAAATTGAATAAAGCCAATAATTACAATTGATTGATCACTGGGTGGCGATCAATGTCATGCGTGTCTAGTCCTTATTAGTGCAAATCGAATGCTATCGACCATGTTGCAATGTGGCAATGTAACGTCTCTGACTGTGAAGCTGGGTGACTCGAGATCGAATCCGCCAGGGAACACCAGCTCCTTCAAGATTAAAGGTACACCTTGCTGATGAGTGACAAGTATCACGAAACCCGGGTCCAGGGTTTCCTGTCGATTACCTCCAACCACCATCTAAAGCCATTAATAATAACAATATATGAAGATAAGAGGAGCAATCGAGTTGACCAGTTGACAGTGATGAAATATTTCAGCATTTATTCAAATTCATTCCCTCACAACTTTTATACACATAAGCTTTATAACTAAGATGTTCCATAGCTGGGATTTACTGAGAATCATACACAAATTAATGTGGTTTCTTGATTAAAATTAGTCATAGATACTTGACACAAATAATTCCAGTGTATGACTTAATTAACCCATTTGATAATGTATGAATAAAATTTTTTTCCTCCCACCCCCATTCTTTAACAAATTCTACCTTTCATTCATATCAATGAGGAATATGTATCGTCTTCTTCATAGTGCCTGTTACTCCTCGTGGAGGAGCATAGGCCACCCACAAGCATTCTCCATCCAATCCTGTCCTGAGCAGACCTTTCCAGTTGTTTCCAGTTGTTATTCATCCCTTTCATATCTGCTTCTATTTCCCGACGTAATATGTTCTTTGACCTTCTCTTTATCCATTTCTCTTCAGGATTCCAAGTTAGCACTTATCTCGTGATGCAGTTTGGTTATTTCCGTATGCCCTATCCACTTCCTAGTTTTCTCTTCAGTTGGAAATTAGTTTGTTTTCTCCCACAGTAGGCTATTGCTGATGGTATCCGGTCAACGGACATTGAGTATCTTGAATAGACAACTGTTCATAAATACTTGTACCTTTTTGATGATCCTTGCAGTAATTGTCCAAGTTTCAATTCTATATACTAGTAGAACTGTCTTGATGTTCGTATTAAAGATTATCTGGTTGGCGTTTTTTTATAGCAAGATTTTGTTCTACGGGATGGTGTTACCAACCTCATGACCAAACCTTTTGTTTTATTCGGGCATAGAACCGGTAGTAACTCTAGAAGAGCTACAGGCAAAGTTAAATATATATATTGTAATTATATTACATTTTTTCTTTTCAGTTTTATCCTGAAGAAAATGAGGAACCATTTGATCGTCGAAAATTCTGTGAGTAAATTAATATGCAATGGTAGACACTTTTTGTAAACTGTGATACTTAATGAAGTTATGCAATTGTTTTTTTAACGGTCAATTAACAGATAGTTTAATAATATAGAAACTAATCGGATTATAAACGGTTTGTAAATGGCTAATATCACAAGAGAATTGTGTCACTATCTAAACACTTAATGGAAATCTAATTTGATTATTCAGTAAATAATCTGATCCCAAAATGGATGTTTTCCCTATTGTATTGTATATATACAGTATACAGTATGAATGATCATTAATGATTAGATAAATGTGAAAACGATTAGAACGGTGCGAACCATTTGAAGCTGATAACAATAAACTAATTATAAGTAATAAATAACAAGTTTTTAAAAAAGTGTTATTAAATGACTGTTGAGTACAAACTCTACGAAGGGACTAAGGACATGGGAGAGCTACAAATTCTAAAGTGTAGATTTCAAGATCAGAAAACTAGACTACTAAAACGTTTGCAATCCACAATGTATTTTTTTGTGTACAAATATCTTTTTGAATGTAGCTATTAAGGTTTTGTACATAATATGGACATAAATATTATTGATATACGTCCATTGATTGTAATAAGCCTGTTAATCAGTAGGTAGATCCGGATAATAGTTGTGAAGGTTTTCGTTTCACTGCTATTGATTGTTATAACTGAATCAATCAGTCTTTGATAATATGTGGTCTTCTTAGATGGGTCACTTAATCATATTTTTTTGAAGAGTGGTTAATGGTGAAACTCAGAACAGAAGTCATATTTTAAACAATTTCTGCAGCAATTTGGAAGACTCTCCCGGTTTCCCACATAGTATGAGTATTCCATGTATCTAAATAAATGGTTGCTCTGGTTGTCAAAAGAGGTATCGGCCTCGTGACTTCCGAACGAACTCGGCTTTCATCATGAGGCGTCATAGTTCTTCTAAATGAAGACCTTCTGATTCCCAGGGCAGAGTTTAAAAGGTTTGAATAATTTTTTCTGGTTAGCATTTTTTTAGCGAGTTAGTTTTCTATGGAATGGGGACGCTAATCCCATGCCCAACCCTCCTCCTTCATCCGGGCTTGGGACCGGCAGTAGCCCCCGGAGGGATTCCAGGCGGAGTTTTTCATATTTTAAGGTTAACATTTAAATGTATCAACATTCAACTGTACCTATCCTTAAAAAATGTAAAAAAATGTAAACACTTTTTCAAATGTCAGATGGTTATGCAATAAGGCGCAAATTTGCAATATCCGCAATTTTTTCGACGAAAAAACTACTTATGTAGTTGTATTGTCTTATTATTGATAGTGATGATTAACTTGTATGAGTAAAATAAATTTAATTTTTTTGCACTTTTTTCTTTAAACTCTTTCTTGTATTTGTTAATTATACTTACATACTTGCTATAAACGCCCTCAAACGCCCTGGTATGGCCTAGAGTGGGTGGGCCCGCCCTCCCTCTCGAAATGCTCTCACACGGTCACGCGTTTACAGCCTCTGTCAGGGAAGTCTTACTCACTGCCTTCTCGTGGCATTGCTGTTATTTACGACAATGAAAGGTCGACAAGCGAATGTCCGGCGATTTAACCGGATCTCAAACCAATGCTGCATATGGGCTCCAGTATCCTGAGGGAACAAATGGCGTATGAACCAATTTTTGGTCACCGACGACCATGGGACTGCATCTCCTTACGATGCTCCACTGCCTTATGGGCTAGACCTTCAGGTCAAAAGCTCAAGGTGTGGCCCCCTAAGAAAACCACCTGCTTCGGTTTGGGCACTCGGGCAGTATCACAGCCCACACACACACAAGTATGGTGTGGCACATATATATTTGGTGCCCTCTTGTACCAATTTTTATGTGTTCAAATACTTGCTATACTATACGATTATGTCTTTAATATAATTTCCAACCAAACTCTTTCATGTAAGTAATTTAAACCCATAACGTAATTATGATCTCTAAATAGCACAGGTTGTAAGCAACTGATGAGAATCAAATGGAATAAAAATGAATTCGTGCTATTCTACTAGACAGGAGTCCTTTTGTTCTTCCTCTTTTCAAAATGATAAAGCGAACTATGCGTATGAAACATTTAAGATTCATCTATTTGAAACTCATAACATTTAATGATGATTTTAGATTTCTAATGTCTCATCTGTCTATAAGTGTGTTGAATTCTAAAATAAACCCATTTTTTTAAACGGGTCAAGTGATGTGAACTGAATTAGTTGTCTATGTTACAGCTACATCTGCTGATTATTCTATTTACTCAATTAATTAGAAAAGCACATCTAAGCTCATTTGTGATGAACATGGTTATGCTACTTATTTGAACAATTAATAATAAAACTGTCAATTACAGATATAATTTTAACTTCTTCGATATTTCATACACATAGTTCCCTTTATCATTTTGAAAAGAGGAAGAACAAAAGGACTCCTGTCTAGTAGAATAGCACGAATTCATTTTTATTCCATTTGATTCTCATCAGTTGCTTACAACCTGTGCTATTTAGAGATCATAATTACATAATGAGTTTAAATGACTTACATGAAAGAGTTTGGTTGGAAATTATATTGAAGACATATTCGTATAGTATAGCAAGGGTGTAAATATAACTAATAGACCGAATGTCGTAAATATATATCTTATGTGAAAGTACATTGATCTTGACAACAGTTCAAACGACCAGAATACAAGTGATTACATAATAAGTAAACGTTGATAGGAGGATAGCGAGTAGAGCTCAGTTGATAAAATAAGATTATTAATTTGGAAGATAGTTGAAATCAAACTCAATGATGTTGTTATAAATGCAAGAAAGAGTTTAAAGAAAAAAAATACCAAGATACAGCGAAGGAATATTATTCACCAAGGCAAGGAAAGATCAATTACTATCTCCTTTTGAACACATAAGTCAAGTTTTTGATGACTAATAGCAACGGCGTCAGTAGACTTCAGAAGACTAGAGTTTGGTTACTTACTAATCATCTTAAAGGATTGCAAGGTATCTATTTACTTGATGTCCTGTATCAAAGAGATGTTTGATGATTGCACTATTCACAGTATTTCTTCTTCTTGTTTCTAGACTCTTCATTATTACATCATATATTAATCGTCTATAGTTTTTGGCACAACAACAATAATCTTAAATTCAATATTTACATAACTACTCATTGCTCATTATAATAAGTAATATATTGCATGTGTCGTTGTTTATTTTTCTCTTTTCTTTTTCTGAATATAGCTGTTCTATCCAATCAAAACAAACGAGATTATTTATTTTTACGTGGCTAATTCGTTTTTTTTTGGGCAACATTTTGATGAAATAGAGAAAAATATGATAGAGTTAATCAGAAAGAAAAAAGTAAAAAAAAAAACAGACGATAAATGTAATTTAGAAATAAACAAAAATAAATAAATGTTACTTGTTATTAGTTTATTGAGTTAAATATAAATTTGTCCATGATGAGTTCCTCGTTTGTGTTGTTTCTTTTTGTTGCTGTCTTTTGATGACTTCATCTTATGCTTAAGAATCGAATGTTTGTATAGTAACTTGGGCAAGATGATAAAGTTATGGACGAACCAATCACATATAAGATAATTCATACACATAGTTCCCTTTATCATTTTGAAAAGAGCAACAACTGAAAGATTCTAGCAGAATAACATGAATTCATTTTATTTCGTCTAGGTTTAATGATGTGTTATAACAATCAAGAAAACAGATTTGTTGAAATATCCAGATGACCGGAGTAGACAGCCCAAATAATCAAAGAGTCATTTACTTCAAATGTTTAAAATCTGATAACTAGCATTAAAATGAAACTTAATAACAAGACTGACGTTTCGTGACTACTTGGCACATTACATTATACTTATTGATGGAAAGTTAGTTGAATGAATGAGTTATTGGCTGTGAGATATTCACCAACCGTAGATATAGATCATGTGAATCACTCCCATCAATTTGAGAGTTTGAATTGTTCTTGAAATAATCGATCGTTTCATTCACACGAAATCACTCTCATCAAAAATTTTTCTAACTTTAAGGATTTTATAGCAACTATCCTACAACCAACTTGGTCAATCAACTTCATAGACTGTTGTAGAAAGTTTCATATATTCGACATGTCATTCCCCACATTCACGTTTCTACTTCTCCTATTCACCTAAAACCCATTCATTTCTTTATAAAACTGAATCAGTGTTTGACAATTTGTATTGTACCAACTGTCCTATAAAAACAATTTCGATTATGGTTCATTTCGGTTAAGTCCTCTTACTAACTTACTTAACAGATAATGTTATTTGAACAATAACAATTCACATATTTCTTTGTACCGTTATGGTCACTAGATCGCATGACAGACTCTGACTAGAATGTTGATTGTTTAACTATCACTCAATGATCCATTCTCCTTCACATGTATATATGTAATCAAATCCTATTATTAGTCTTTGCATTGCCATGCTGCACCCTTATACAATTTGACTATCAATTTGCCTATGTAGTTACTCTCATATACTTATTCACCTCTCCACTTCAAATTTGTTTGATATGCTTATAGCTTTATGATCTGTGCCATTCAGTAATAAACTGTAGTTGCCGCTTCTCATTGCGTTTTGATTTCAAACACCTTTGAGATTTATATAATAACGGTTCACAAAGTGATCGAATAATGAAGAATCAGAAATCCTTTATAATTGTATTAATGACAACCTGAAACTGAAACCCTACAAACTATTAGCTTCGATTCAAATCGTATTTGTTAATTTCTAGTCATTTTCTATACCACTAAATCATCCATCATAATTCGTCCAAATTTAGGAATATTCTAATAACTAAGTAGGTAACACTTAAATGTGAGCCATAAATATTTCTCTCTAACACCTGATGAAGTCACAGAATAATATTTTTAGTTTGTTCGTTGATTAGATTGAAACTGTCTACTTAAAATGTTTATGAAAAAGGAATGATCTCAAGATTAAGGAAGAAAAAAAGAATCACGGAAATCCTTTTTTGAAACTTGATTAAAGTAAAGAATATACAAGATTACTGTAGGTCTGACTCATTTCAACGGAATAAATCGTCGTCTAACTGAGATAAGAAACAAAAAAATTGCATGTTCAAGAGGAGATGTTTTTGTTTTTACTTTGTACTACAAGATCATTATCATGAAAAAGAAGTATCACTTTAACCTTTTATTCATGGAGATATAAATAAATCTGGAAATTTTACAAAGATTTTGTATTTTGATTGAGATCATGAATCGATTGAAGTTAGAGTACCATCGACAACTTGGAAGTACTGGACGGGTGTTTCATTTCATGATGGAACTTTTCACCAGTACATGTCTACAATTTGTCTCGCAGGATTTGGACACAGAATCTTATAGTCTTTTGAGTTAAAATTCTAATTCTTATATTGTTATACTGTAAGGGAAACTCTAGAAAGTTTGATTAAAAGTGCCAAGTATCACTTCATAATCTTAAATTTGTTTGCTTCAGATTCAAGGGAATTTTTGTATAAAAATATCAACCTGGATTTCTGTAAACTAAGAAATTCACTAAAAACTAGTATAATAAGAACAAATTGACGCTAAAGTTTGTTTTAACGTAGTCCAGTTTTTGTTTATTTGAAGGAAGAAGAATGTGATACTTCTTGTTGACCTATTGAGGTCGTAAGTCACCTTCTGTAAGACTGAGAAGCATAAATGATTTATTTACTTTGTAATCTACTATATCTTGGCTATTTGAAGTCTCATACACATAGTTCCCTATTTGAAGTCTATTGATTGACTCTCTATCCACTGGCTAGTCTATAAGACCTGAATATGGCAGAATGCTTTGTTAAGTGCTAAAAGATTCTTCGTAATCGGTAAACTTGAATAATTTGATCACACTGATACTTAAAACTAGACAAAATCACAGTGGTTACTGCTTGGTGATCAGCTACTCTAATACATATTAAGTATATAGTTTCAAATTTTCAGCCACTTCTCATTTTATCGTAAATGAGATCATTTGATTTGACTAATGTCAGATTTAAAAAGAATCTACAGTACAATATTAGCATCCAAATGTTTACTTTTATACGTTTTATAGTTGAATTCATGAGACAGTGAAAGCTAGACCACCATAGAAAACCTGGGAGCAGTGGACAGCCGTTTCTTCCTAGTATGGAACTCCTCAGCAGTGCACATCCATGATCTCTCTCCCGGGATTTGAACCAAAGCGTGAACGCTTACCCTCTAGACCACTAAAAACAATCAATTTTCAATATCTTATAGATTCAAAAATATTCAATAAATTATGAATGTTTATTTAAACAAATCACTCTCACAAAGATAACCCCCATCAATCTTAATTTAATAAACTGAGCTTATAATGATCGTATAATTAAAAGTGAAACATTTAAGTAACAGAAAATGATAGTTACTAAGTTGAAGTTTCAAATGAAATGATTGTTTAAATATTTATATGATAACGTTAAATCAATCAAGGCAATTTGAGTCAATCATCTCAACTATAATAGATTACGTCACTGAACATATTATGTAGAAACATAAATTGATAGTAGTAGTAGTAGTAGTAGTAGTAGTAGTAGTAGTAGTAGTAGTAGTCGTGGTAGTAGTAGTAGTAGTGGTAGTAGTAGTAGTAGTAGTAGTAGTAGTAGTAGTAGTAGTAGTAGTAGTAGTAGTAGGAGGAGGAGGAGGAGGAGGAGGAGGAGGATAGATGTACGGATAGTAAGTTAGTATAATAAAGTAAAATAACCTAACTTTTTATCAATAATAGTTCAACATAGGGAATAGTAGATCAAACATACATGTGATATTCTCATTTACCATATATATAATCAAACTTACAAGTAGTATCGTGATTATTCAATGTAAAAAAATGAAACTTTATTTAAGTAGTAAATAATATTTAAGTTCAAAATAAATTTCATCTAGTACACATAATTTTATAGATAATGTAAAATTTTCTTATGACGGTTAAGTTTTCGACGATGTTTGTTACGTTTATGTTTACCATTACGTTTGGATTTTTTCCAAACACCAAATCTTACTGGACTTATCATCAATGATTGTGATTCATTATCATGCTGAACTTGATTCTTCCATAGATTGTTTTGTTCTTCTTCAGCTTCTTTCACTTTTAAATCAATATGATTCATAGATGATTGTTGAATTGTATAAGTCATTGTAGATTGTATGAAACAATTAAAATATAATGAACAACTTATATAGAATAATAATCTTAGATGGTTCATTGTCAAATTCAATATTTAGTTTCTATGGACTATTTATATTCGTTATGGGTTATCATCATTAAACGTGATTCATATTATTCAATATCTAAGGGGAATATTTAAATGACATAAAAGTACATATAAACACCTAAACTAATATCATTCAGTTAGTTAGTTAGTTAGTTAGTTAGTTAATCAGTCAACTACACTGTAAGACCTAGGCACATCTATCTAGATAGATATATATACATCAGTCTAATCGTTTTAATATAACAATCTATTTATTGTTTATATTCATAATTGTAAATACATTTTTACTATTTTGTTTTTAAGAACAATTTATTGATGAATAAAGTTGACAATATTACCGATAGATGGGTTGATTGGAAACTAGTTCCTAGACGACCATTCTATTCATCCTATTCATTTCATATAAATTTTAAAGAATCATTCAAAATAATAATCATAATAAATAAGAACTTTTGTTTAAATTTGATCGAAATTGTTTCATAGTATATGGGCTCCAATTGGATATGAGACATTAAAGAGGAAAATCTCAGCGAATGAATTCCAAGTAAATTCAACATTTCATTTCGGCATTTGAGTTCAGGCTTTTTCAAGGAGATATAGAATCAAATATCAAAATTATTGAATATAAATAAGGGTATATGGTACTCTGGTTCATTGTATCTTGAATAGATCTTCCAATCAATGTTAACAATATTCAAACTAGGTGTTTGCTTTAGTGTGTAAGAGATATGTAGTATGAAGCGAAGTGTTAAGATAACAGATTGTGTGTATAATTAAGTAGTATTGTAGCGTGGTGTCGAGTCACGGTTGACTATGAACACCACTACAGGGAAACGCGTGCCAAACAAATCAGAAGGCGAATGTGGATTGAAACCAAGTTTATTTCGTTGGCGATCTTGTGGTATCGAACGAATACTGAGTACAAGTGGAATCAGCGGGCAAGAGTACGAGGTCACAATCCGCGAAAAAATAATGGAGTAGTAATATGGCTGTCTGTAGCACAGTTAAACAAACGAGCACAGTAAAACAATCACTGGTACAAGTGGTTATAATAATGATTGTTTCCATTAAATCAATCGCGTTCTCTTGATAAAAGTAGGTCACTACAGTATAACCACTGAATTTTCTTTTAGTGAAATTTCTTCTCATGTATATACACAATCTGTTATCTTAACATTTTCCAT